AGGACCGGTGTCTACCGTATGGCCCATAACTATCATTCCCGATGGAGAGAAAGGCAACTATAACTACAGCGCCGTTATTCACGCCTCCCTTCTCTTCTATGAGGCCCAGAGGTCCGGCAAATTACCCGCAGATAAGAGGGTTCACTGGAGGGGCGACTCTATGTTCGACGACGGGAAGGACGTGGGGAAGGACCTGACGGGCGGTTACTTCGATGGTATGACTTATAAGTAATAAATAGGATTAGTATTAATGTTTTAGTGCATAAATAGCCGGAGATTTGGTTAAATTTGGTTTCCCGATGGCGTACACTATAACAATGTTGGCCTGGGGTCTGGTAGACTACGAGGACGCCTACCAAAAGGCCGGGGAGTTGGAAAATGTGCGCAATGCTATCAAATGGGGGACAGACTACTTCATAAAAGTACTGTAAATAATAACTTTATAAAAATATACTAATAATTTTAAATTCAATTAATGCTATTCAGTGCCACACAAGCGATACTGAATTTTACGGACAGGTAGGCAATGGTAATGATGATCACGCCGTGTGGGGTCGACCTGAGGACTGGCCTAAAACCAAAGTCAGGCCCGCGTATAAGGTTACCGAAGCACATGGAGGTAAACCATTATAAAATAATATAATTTATAGAAATTAATTATGAATGTAATTATAAAAATAGGCAGTGATTTAGTGGGCGAGACATCGGCAGCACTGGCGGCGGCGTCCATAGCCTTCGCGAAGTCTGATCCGACATATTCAGCAACACTTCTAACTCACGCCAAGTCTTTGTACACCTTTGCGGACAAACATCGGTCCACTTATACGGCAGAGATCACAGACGCAGCAAATTTCTACAAGTCTTGGTCCGGTTTTGGCGATGAGTTGGCCTGGGCTGCCACGTGGCTGCTCAGGGCTACCAATGATACCCAGTATAAGGCAGAAGTGGACAAACACTTCAATGAATTCGGCAAACAATTGATGGGACAGCCCACACAGTTTGGATGGGATGATAAGACCGCTGGAGTACAGGTGCTGTTGGCTGAGGTGACAGGCGATGAAAAGTATAAGACTTTGGCTAAAACTTTCTGCGATTGGGTCGTCAATACGGCACCGAAATCACCAAAGGGTTTGTAGACTGAAAAACATTGCTTGCTAATTAATAACAATCTGTTTATTATAGGTATGGTGTACCTGGATCAATGGG